CCACTCGATTGTGGGGATCGATATATGCAGACGATCCTGCGATATTTGCACTTTCAACGCGTCCTGAGATTTCTACTTTCAAATTTGGGCCTGAAACAAATTGGAGACCGTTAGTGGGTTGGTCTTCGGAGAAAAATATTGTGTACAGTAGGTTAGAGAAAGTGACAGCATTGCAGTTTCTCAAACTGCCAGCTCGAGCTGGCAGCAGTACAGCCCACCCCGCCAATGAGATTGCCGAGCAGTGGTGCATCGTTGAATCCTTTTAGCACGCGGTTCGACCAGGTTCATTTGTTACCAGCTGCGCTGGCAGTCGAACGAGCCTGCCAACGCACACAGCGATATATTCTCAACGAATCGTCTTTCCTTTTGCCATCTCTGCCAGCATGTCTCTTGCCACGCGAGGTTTTCTATGCCACGCTGGTTGCTTCTAGTGGTTTCCAATCCATTCCCCGCGGTGCGCTAACTCGACCTCACCCTCCCCCCCTCTCCCACTTTCCTGGAGGTTCACACCCCCAGCACTCGCTCTTCCTTGTTCCCTCCCTCCCATCTTCCTCCTTTGGACGCCTATTACTCCAGCATACCCGGCTGTTTTTAATTCACTTGTTTCTGCTCGGTTGGTGTGTCTGCTCCCGTCAGTGTGCTCCCGTCAGTCTGCTCCCGTGACTCCACCTACCCCGATGCTAGTTTCCGATGCTCGGTTGGTGTGTCTGCTCCCGTTAGTCTGCTCCCGTGACTCGAGGTATGACTGCCATATTTTCGTAGGTGTTTCGACTTTCCCGAGTGTTTCTTTCTGTTTCCGCTTGCCGCTCCAGCAGCACCTTCCCTCTCGTGCGAGTTCTCTGGCTCTTTAATACCGATTCTGCTAGCCACGCAAGCAGCACCTGACTTCTGTCGAGCGATTTTTTTTTTTCCAGCTAGTATTTCACGTCTTCTTTTCGTCCGTTAATTACAGTGGCTGCGATGGTCGGACACTCAAGCGGTCTGTTTCACCAGGTGAGCGATCGTGGTCTGTTCTGCCTTCGCTGTTCCGTCTTCTTAAGGTTAAAGTTGCTGTAGTTCATGGGTTCGGTTTCCTCTTTTTTTTCGTTCGCTGTCTGTTTATTTTTCTCGTTCACTCCACAGCTACCTTCTCCGCCATCTTATCTCGTGGTTTCACTGGATCGCTTGTGCAGCGCGTTAGTCTGATACTTTTCTTTGGTAAGTTGCCTTCGTCATTATCTAACTGCTATCTTCGTCCTGTCTTTGTTAAACAGGTTCATTATTGCGCATTCGTGTAACCGTATGTTCATGCATCTTAAGGTACTCTAACCCGTCACTGACAATACGTCGTTTTTCGTTATCCTTTATGTATCTCACTCGTGATTGTGTTGCTGTAATTTGCTGTGATGATTTTCGTTGACGAGAGCTGCCTTCATAGTAGCTGGGTAAACAAAGTAGCTGGGTGTGGGGCAGGGTAGTGTGGGAGTGCTAGTTGGAGTCTAATTGTACTTCCAAGTTTGTGTTTATCGTTTATATAAATTATATTGCATTCTGCCTATCATTGAGATTTGAATTAGTACACATTTATCCGACTGGAGTAAGCACTGTTATTATATATACCGTCCAATCGTATATAATGCTGAATTTGGCCCGTGAGGTAACCCAATTATGGTTACCAGGATACTTCACAATCGTTATTACATTTATAAAACAAAAATGAAGTGTCTCCAAGTGTAGTTCTGTCAGGTAACCAAATTAGGTTACCGGGTGGTAACAGTAGCGCTCTGCACATTTCCAGTGGAGAAGTTTGACGATGGTAAATGGTCGTTCGCAGACGTTCAACCCCACCATCCCGCCATAAATGGAGGGCAGTGTGAATCGCGGTTGACCCCTCAGCTCATTTACCACTGAACCTTCCCCACTCGCGAACTATTGTATACTACCACCCAAACCCAATCAACCCCAGCTTACTCTCCGACACTGTAGCTGAACAATCGGGCGTATATGCTGGTTCGGACACCCCCCCGTTTTCCATACACAAAGGGCAATACCCTGGGTGGTTTATTGCCCTGGGGGTCAATCACGGTTCGCACAACACAAACCACGCACAAGAAGGCGTTTACGATCCAAAACGCCTTCTACATATTTCTGATGCTGTAATTCGCCGACAATTTTCCGCCTTGAATTCCCAACCAAGTCGCCACTACTTACCTCTGTTCACCGCACTGAATCTACAAAAATCCCAACCACCCGTTCCAATTTCAGATCTCGTCACAACACAACCCCCTCCCTTCCCTGCTAGTCTACTCCGATATTCCTTCATTAGCTAGCTGGATGCGTCCGTGGTTATTGTGAGGGTCCCTGTTTTTGCGGTTACAGGGCAGCGAGCGAGCATTACTCGAACTTGGACGAGCTTTTCTAAATGCTCGCCCGAGTTCCCTTTTATAAGGCGAGTAACGAGTTTCTGTTTGGGGGAAAAATGCTCGGTCGAGTATTACTCGACTCGGGCTCGTACTCGGCCGAGCAAGGCTAGGGACGAGTCGAGCATTACTCGGCTCGCCCCTTTGCACAGGTATAGGTCCTGTCCTACACTTCTCAGCAGAGTGGATCACGTAGTGGTGCAACTTACATGTAGTGAAGGTCGACAAGGCTGGTCAATTCGCGGGGGATAGACCCTGTGAAACTGTTGTTGCCCAAGATCCTGCCATGACCATTCCGATTGCGATTGCCCATTTAAAACCCGCAGCCCGAATTACAAACTGAGTCAACGCCAGGCTTGGGTTGTGCTTCGGCTTAACCAATCTGACGTTCGGAAGATTTGCGAAACAGGCTGGCTAGCGAAACAAAGTAGCGACAGCCTGGTGTCGCACCCATGCAAACGACAGGCAGGGAATGCGAAAACGGAACCAAGGCAATGGGAGAGCGTAGCCTAAGACATTTCGACATACCTCCCATACTGCACCACTGCTTTAGATGACTTATCCAAGTACCACAAACAGCGACTAAGACAACAACCAGGCCCACATTGCGCGTCGCCCAAGAACTCAATGACTCGGTCGAGAAACGCCCATAGCCTCGTTTTGCACGCAAAACGCATTCAGGCTGGCCGACGAGAACCACATTTAGCCTGCGCGGCGCGGGGGAATAGCCTTCCCGGAGCCCGCATTTAGCCTGCCCATCGCCCTCATTGGGCGCCCTCCCGTCGCCCGCATTTAGCACTCCCGTCGCCCGCATTTAGCACTCCCGTCGCCCGCAACAAGCCTTCCCGTCGCCCGCATTTAGCCTTCTCGTCGCCCGCATTTAGCATGAACGTCGCCCGCATTTAGCCGAGCCGTCGCCCGTGGTTACCAATCTCTTCGCCCGCAAAAGGCGTGATCTCAAGCCAATATTATCTGCCCGTCAGTCTCATTTCCCCCTCGAAGCAAAGGCCGTTCTTCTTCCCGTCGCCAGCTTCAGGCCTCTTCGTCGCGCGCATTCCGCGTTTCTGAGCACTGCAATTCCCCTTACCGTCAGCGCCTTACCCATTCCCCTCGACCGCAAATCCCCTTTCCACCGACTTCATCTCCCCTGCCCGTCACCGCAAATCCCCTTTGTTGCCCACTCCGTCGCTCTCGCGGGCACGTGGCCACTAAGCTGTTGCGGACTGTGGGCCCTCCCACCCTTCTCGCCTTTCTCATCTCCCGAGCAAGGGCGCCCACAGAACCTGTGCTCCGGCGCCCACAGATTCCGTGAACCAGCGGACGGACGTACCCACTCATCCCATTTCCAGGTAGGAACCCATCCCCATCGCTTCACACTCCCTTCCCCAGCGCCTCACACTCCCTTCCCCATCGCCTCACACTCCCTGAGCCAACGCCTCACACTCCCTTCCCCAGCACCTCACACTCCCTTCCCCACACACTCACACTCCCTTCCCCAGCGCCTAACACTCCCTTCCCCACACACTCACACTCCCTTCCCCACACACTCACACTCCCTTCCCCACACGCTCACACTCCCTTCCCCAGTGTTGTTTTCTGTTCAGCTAGTTGTTTTCTGATTGTTCAGCTAGTTGTTTTCTGAAGCACGGGAAGAAATTGTTACGATTGAAACTAAGCACGAGCAAATGGCGAATACAAACATGTTCGTGTTCGCCCTGCCTCGAACACACGTGTTTGGCGAAACGCACATGTTCTTGATCGCCCGAACACTTCGAGAAAAAGTGGTATCCGTGTTCACCTTTGGGAGGCGAACACCTTGATGTTCCCCCGAACACGAACATGTTTGGGGCGAGCATGTTCGTGTTTGCCATATCAGCAGGGTTCGTTATAGTCGCACGTTTCTGGATGGTTGATTTTGGCGTCAGGGATAATATACATGGTGGGCGTTTGAGAGTGAAGGAAATGAAACACCAAAGAGTAGAGTGTGGTTCCGACAAAATAATTCATTAGAGTCTAGGTACCCTAGCTGCTGGAGCTTGTATTCTAGGCCGTGGGAGAGGAGTTCAGCAAAATTTGAGCTTAGAAACGAACAAGAAATTGTTTGTGTTCGGCGTGGCTCGGCTAGTCGCGGCGAACCGAACACGAACATGTTCGCCCCTAACACTTTTGGCAAAAAATATAAGTGTTCGGTTCGCCACGAACATGTTCGAGGCAAACCGAACAGGTGTTCGCCCCTTATCCGATGCCAGAAACTCCCCTCGGGGTCACCTTCGAGGGTCACTGGGTGCCTGACCAAATGTCAGCCCTTTTCCAAGGGTCCGATTTGTGTTAAAACCCGCAGCCTGAATTACAAAAAAAGTTGGGAGGTGTTAACACTTTCCCTCCCGAACCAGGGTGGTTACCAGTTGTGCACGGGCAAAACGTGATGAAGTCGCAGGCAGCTCACGGAAGTGTCTCTCGGTTCCTGCGCAACCACTCTGGCCTTGCTGTGCACACCAAACTGGAAACCTGTAATTCAGGTCGATAAAAACTGCCTAGTCCGATCAGCACCAGCGGCAGCCATAGCTTAGAACAGCTAGGCTCCAACCTCATTCCAGCCCCATGCCTCATAGACCCGCCTTACTCGTTAGGACTAATACTCCATTCCTTAGGTGCCAGAGATATAACTTTCTGTCCGCCTTTCTAAGGTGAATCGCCCTACTTCGTCGCATTCGCTTCTTCTCCCCGTAGTCCACACTCCGTCCCCTTCCGTCCCACACACGCACTCCCCTCCATCGCTCACGCTTCCTCGCGACAACGAGCACGCTCCCTCCCCTCCCGTCTCCTTTGCGCTCGCTCCATTGTCGCAAACGCGCGCTCTGTTTTCTCGCGGATTATAATTCCCTCCCGTCGCCCACGCGGGAGCGCCGAGACCGATTATGCACACTCCCTTCCGTCACCCACGCTCACTTCGTTCCCACCGCAGACGCGCACTCCCTTCCGTCGCCCCCGCGCACTCCGTCAGTTACCTCGGCCCACGCGCACTCCCTTCCGTTGCCCACTCTCAAGACCTTCCCGTCGCCCACGCTCACACCCTTCCCATCGCCTACGCGCAATCGTTCAGTCGCCCACTCTCAACCACTTCCCTCGCCCACGCTCGCTCCCTTCCCGTCGCCCACGCTCACTCCCTTTCCATCGCCTTCGCGCAATCCTTACATCGCACACGCTCACCCCCGCTTGTCGCACACGGCCAATTCCCTCTCGTCGCACGCTGCCGCCCGCGCCGCGCTCTCCCTTTCAATCTCCTCCCGCCGTCCACGCGCACTCCCTCCCGGCGCGCGAGACGACTCCCCGTCCGCCGCCCACGCTCACTCCCTCCCGCCGCGACGGTCCCCTCCGTCGCACATGCTCACTCCCCTCCGTCGCCCACGCCCACTCCTTATGGTCGCACTCACTCCTCCCCGTCGCCCACTCATTCCCCTCCGTATCCCTCGCTCACTCCCCTTCCGCCGCCCACGCTCGCTCCCTCTCCGTCCCTCATCTCCCCGTCCCTCATCTCCCCGTCCCTCATCTCCCCATCCCTCACCCCCCCATCCCTCATCTCCCCATCCCTCACCTCTCCGGTCTTCCTCTCCCTCTCCCCTCTCCTCTCATTCCTTACCCTTCTCCCTCTCCTCTCCCTCCTCCCTTTCCACTCGCCCCGCCACTCCCGCCGTGCTTCTCCCTCCCCCCATTCCGCCTCGCCCCATTCCGCCCCACCCCATTCCGCCCCATCCCATTCCGCCTGACCTCATTCCGCCCCACCCCATTCCGCCTCACCCCATTCCTCCTCTCCCCGTCCCCTCCTCACTTTACCCCCCTCTTCTCCCCTTCCCCACCTCATCCCATCTCCTCCTCTTTCCGTCCACCCCTCCTCACCCCATCTCCTCCTCTTTCCATCCAGGCCTCCTCACCCCATTCCGCCTCACCCCATTCCGCCTCCCGTCCTCTCCCCATCCCCTCCTCTTACTATCCCTCCTCTCCCTGTCTCTCCTCTCCCCATCCCTCCTCTCATCCCTCCTCTTACCATCCCTCTTACCATCCCTCCTCTCCCCATCCCTCCTCTCCCTATCCGTCCTCTCCCCATCCGTCCTCTGTTCGTTCCTTTCTCCCCACATCCCTTCCTGTTTGCTCCGCACTTCACCTCCCCCTCCCCTCCCCCAATCGCTCTGCGCGGTCTCATTGCAGGGACTCCTCGCAGGGAAAGAAGGGGAAAGGGAGGAAAGTGCACCCACGCTACGTCTATCCCCTCACCCCGCCCTGTCCTATCCCCTCACCCCGCCCTGTCCTATCCCCTCCCCTCCCCCTCCCGTCCTCTCCCCATCCCCTCCTCTTCCAAACCCATCCCTCCTCTTTCCATCCATCCTCTCCCCATCCCTCCTCTCCCCACCTCCTCATCCCTTGTGCGTTTCTGCTCCAGGGAGCTGCTTGGGACGCTGTGGACGGATGGCGGCGCCCATAGTCGCACAACAGAGGCGGACGTGGTGCTGCGTGAATCCCTTCCCCCCCTCCTCCCAACCTCTCTTTCTCCCTTCATCACGCCCCTCCTCTCCCCATCCCCTCCTCTCCCCCTCCCCTCATCACGCCCCTCCTCCCATCACGTCCCGTCCTCTCCCCATCCCCTCCTCTTCCAAACCCATCCCTCCTCATCACATCCCTCCTCTTTCCATCCATCCTCTCCCCATCCCTCCTCTCCCCATCCGTCCTGTCCCCATCCCCTCCTCTCCCCCTCTGCTCCAGGTGTTTCCTCCCATCATCACTTCCTCCCATCATCACTTCCTCCCATCACCACTTCCTCCCATCATCACTTCCTCCCATCACCACTTCCTCCCATCACCACTTCCTCCCATCACCACTTCCTCCCATCACCACTTCCTCCCATTACCACTTCCTCCCATCATCACTTCCTCCCATCACCACTTCCTCCCATCACCACTTCCTCCCATCACCACTTCCTCCCATCACCACTTCCTCCCATCATCACTTCCTCCCATCACCACTTCCTCCCATCATCACTTCCTCCCATCACCACTTCCTCCCATCACCACTTCCTTCCATCACCACTTCCTCCCATCACCACTTCCTCTTCCTATCCCCTTTCCCTCTCACATCGTCCTATCTCCCCCTGTCCCTTCCCCCCTGCTTCCCTCTTCCCCCTCTTTCCCCGCTTTCCCCTCCCCATCGCTCGTATTCTCTTTCTCTCCCTGGCTATTGCAGTGACTACACTGATGATTTTTCTGGTGCTGCAACTCGCTCAGAGGCCCATCATCCCATGCCATGCTCGTAGAGAAAACAGTTCCCTTCATGTTTCTTTCGAGGCTTTGGAAAAGGTACAATCAAAAGTATTGTGCACATGCCTTTCTGTACCCTTCTGACACTCTTAGTGTGCATCAATCTTCGAAGAATATCTTGCACTTCAGAACAAAATTACATACGGTACGGTATTATGCCTTTGAGATCCATCTCTTCAACAAAAATGATGCAAAGCACACAAGACACAGGCGGTGGTACGATGCAAAGCATAGACTAGCTGCGCCTCAGCTTGCTCCTCTGCTTCACCACTGAAAAATAGGGGGGATTGGAGTAGGCAGAAAGATTCGTGTGACGAAACATGGGGGAGGTGGAGTGAGGTGCAAGGGAACAACGGCAGGGGAATACACACAAGCGCACATAATGAAAGCATGTATGGGGAGACACTAATGGGTGCACATGCATGGGTATTAGAGGGCGGAAGGTGAGGAGTGAGGGGGAAGGGTAGGGCATGAAAAGGAAGGGAAGGGTTGTGAACGGCTGGGGGAGGGAAGGGCGGAGCAGGGAGGAAAAGGCAGGGATGGGGAGGGCACGTGGGAACAGGGCAGAGGGTGCAGGAGAGTGAGAGTGCGAGAGGACGGAGGGAGAGAGTGCAGGAGGAGGGAGAGTGGGGGAAGGAGGGTGGGAGGAAAAGGCAGGGATGGGGTTTCCTAGGTGGGAACAGGGCAGAGGGTGGGGGAAGGAGAGTGAGAGTGCGAGAGGATGGAGGAAGCAGGGAAGGGGATGGGGGGAAGCAGGGAAGGGGATGGGGGGAAGCAGGGAAGGTGATGGGGGGAAGCAGGGAAGGGGATGGGGGGAAGCAAGGAAGGGGATGGGGGGAAGCAGGGAAGGGGATGGGGGGAAGCACAGAAGGGGACGGGGGGAAGCACGGAAGGGGATGGGGGGAAGCACGGAAGGGGATGGGGGGAAGCACGGAAGGGGATGGGGGGAATGAAACAGCCATTAAGCTGTTTGGGCAGAGTAGTAGTAGTAGGAAGCGTTGTTAGAAGAATTCCAGGAAGAAAGTAGCAAGATAGCTTTACAAGAGATCATATGATGGCATACATTTCAGAGATGCATCCTAATATACTAGGATACTAGCATGGGCGCCTCGAGCTGGTCGCTCAGGTCGCCATTATTATTCCAAGAGCTAAGAACAGCAAGGCATAGTCACTATGATTATGTACACAAGATTCTAGCCTTGTTGTCATATCCTAGAACCAATTAGCAAAGTCTAGGAATTCACTAAAGACACAGGCAGAGATTATTTGTCTTGTTGTCGTCCATGTTGTCGTTGATAATGATGACCACAAGCTCCGTTGGAAGTAGTCATGGCTGTAGGTAACTATGCTTGCTTGTGCTGTCAAGTACGTTGCTGCGCTGTTGGAATTCTCTGCCGTGTTGTGTCCAGCAGTAGAGTGCTCTCTGGAGTTGTTCCCACGGTTGGAAACTCAGAAAGTCGGGTCGCACATTTCAATGTTGGAGTTCCAACATTGAATTCCCGAAATGCACTTAGGGTGTGTTCCGAATTCTGGTTCGGATCACAAGGAGCTGAGTTGGCGAAATCGAGGATGGCGAGATCGCCTTCGTCTTGTTACATTACTCCCCTCTCCAGCAAGCACCGTCCTCGGTGCTTGAGCAGATGCAAGGTAGCTCTGAAGGGCTCTTTGGGCATTCTGAAGGCTTGTCTCGGGTATCCAGAGGTTGTGAGAGGAGTCTTTCCCACGCCACTTAACAAGGAAGTAAGTGCCGCGAGGAGAGGTTTTATGGGACAGAATTTTCTCAACTTCGAAGAGATCAGGGTTTGATGTGAACATAGGAGGCCGAGGAGGCAGAGGTAAGAGGGGGAAATGGGCTGGAGGAGTGTGGTAAGGACGTAGCAGCTGAACGTGAAAAACAGGGTGTATGATGATGTGAGGTGAAAGTTTCAAACGGTAGGTGAGAGGAGAGAGAACTTGGGTGATGGTGAAAGGGCCAATGAAACGAGGTGTAAGCTTACGAGTGAGACCTTTCTGCAGCAAGGGAAGGTTTGTGGTGGAGAGAAGAACTTGGTCACCTACATGGAACTGAATGTCACGACGGTGTTGATCGGCGTACCGGATCATTCGGTGTTGGGATTTGAGCAAGGAAGCGCGTGCTGCTGCAATGGTCTTTTCCCGAGTGGAGAGGAAGTCGGCTGCTGGTTTGGTGTCACTGCTGCGTACGAGAGAAGCTGGTGTGCGGGGCTGCTGACCTGTAGCGAGGAAGAAAGGGGTTTGTCCCGTGGCGAGGTTCACCGTGTTGTTGTAGGAGAATTCGATCGATGGCAGGTGCTGGTCCCAATCGTTTTGCCGTGCACTCACGCATGCACGCAGGGCATCTTCAAGGGTTCGATTCATCCTCTCGGTCTGCCCATCGGACTGAGGATGGTAGGCAGTGGAGAGACGAATCTTGGTGCCCAATCTGTTGAAAAGGGACTGCCAAAATCTGCCAACAAACCGAGAATCACGGTCACTGATTAGTACGGAAGGAATGCCATGGAGACGTACCACCTCGTTGAAGAAGAGATCAGCGACGTTCTCAGCAGTAGCGGTGGTGGAGGTAGGGAGGAAGTGTGTCATCTTGCTCAGCTTGTCCACGACGGTGAGGATGGCGTTGTGATGGGAGGAGGTGCGAGGCAGATCTGTGATAAAGTCGAGTGTCACATGAGTCCATGGGAGCTGAGGAATTTCCAGAGGGTGTAGGAGGCCGTAGGGTGCTGCGTTGCGAGCCTTGTTGCACTGGCATGTGTGGCAGCTGCGTACGTAGGAGCGGACATCTCGAGAGAGCTTGGGCCAGAAGAAGTTGGAAGAGATGGCAGCAAGCGTTTTGTCCACTCCGAAATGCCCATTCTGGTCATGATGCTCGCGTAGCAGGAGGTGACGAATCTTGCGCTCTGCGGGGACGCAGATGACTTGGGAATCTGCCTTATACCAAAAGGGGGATTCGTAGAAGACAGATTTATCATCAGCAGCAGAGTAGAGATAGAAACGGTCACGACGATACCCTTTGATGAATTTCTTGATGAAGCTTTTGTCCCATGTGACACTTCCGATGGTGGTGAGCTGAAGTTGAGGAGGCCGGGTCAAAGAATCAGCAGGGTTGAGGCGGCCAGCGCGGTACTCGATTTTCAGCTCCGGTACGTACTGTTCCAGGTACTCCATCCATCGGGCCTGCCTCGGGGTGAGATGGGGCTGCGTCTTCAGGTATTGCAGGGTGCAGTGATCGGTAAGAACAGTGACGGGCTGCATGTGAACATAGCAGCGCCACTTCTTGATTGCATGGACGATGGCCAGCGCCTCGCGATCGTGAGTTGCATAGGCTGAAGGCGATAGGCTGAAGGCCATGCCCTTGATCTTGACAAAGAATTGCACCCATTGCAACCTGAGACGCATCTGTCCATATCACGTAGGGAAGGGAGGGGTTGGGTAGGGCTAGAGTAGGAGAAGAGGTTAGTGCACACTTGAGAGCATTGAAGGCAGTTTGCTGGTCAGAGTCCCAATGGAATGGTTCAGTTTTGCGAAGAAGGTTGGATAGGGGAGAGGTAATGGCAGCAAAGTGTCGAATGAACTTGCGGTAGTAGTTGGCAAGACCAAGGAAGGCTTGCACTTCCTTGATAGAGGTTGGCTCCTTCCATTCTCTGATGGCGTTGACTTTGGAAGGGTCCATAGCAAGCTGGTTGTGTGAGATGATGTGGCCCAAGAAAGGAACCGAGGGCTTGGCAAACTCACACTTGCTCTGTTTGGCGAAGAGACGATGCTCACGAAGCCGTGTGAAGACTTGCCTTAGATGCTCGGCGTGTTCCTTCAAGGATTTGCTATAAATCAGAATTTCATCGATGAAGATGATGACAAACCGGTCCAAGAAATCCCGAAAGACATTGTGCATCAAGGACATGAAGGTGGCAGGGGCATTCGTTAGTCCGAAAGGAAGCACGAGAAACTCGAAATGCCCATACCGTGTTCGAAAGGCGGTTTTCTCGATGTCTTCGTCAGCGAAACGCACTTGATGGTAACCGCTTCGTAGGTCCAGCTTGCTGAAAATTGTGGCCTCACCAAGTTGATCAAAGAGTTCTTCCACTCGAGGTAGCGGGTAGCGATTCTTGACGGTGATTTTGTTGAGCGCACGGTAGTCAATGCACATGCGCATACTGCCATCCTTCTTTTTTACGAAGAGAATCGGTGCTGCGTAGGGAGAGGAGCTGACGCGGATGAATCCCTTCTCAAGTAGCTCCTCCAACTGCTTCTGAACTTCTTTCAGCTCGGCAGCACTCATCCGGTTGAGAGATTTTTTTTGCTGCCGTTTCGAGAGGATGTTGCAGCAAGTAGAGGTAGAGGAGGAGGAGGAGAAGGTAGGTAAGGTGATGTCTCTTCCAGAGTGAGAGATGGTGACGGTTCCGAGAGTCCAATCAATCTTGGGGTTTTTTAAGGAAAGCCAGTCACGTCCAAGAATCACTTCATGGTCTCCGAGAGATGCTTGCTGAAACTGAATCTTGTCTCGGTAAGGTCCGATTGTACATGAAACAGGGAATGGTACTTGTCCACATGAAATCGAGGTTCCGTTCGCCATCAGCACTGTTTGAGGTATGGAATCAGGTTGAGTTGGAAGAGAAAGCTTGGAGAGTAGAGAGGAGGAGATGAAGTTAGAGGAAGCACCACTGTCAACTAGAGCTTTCACTCTTTGACCACGAATCAGCATGGAAAGGAGAAGAGGTTCAGAGGGGTTACGACTTTCAAGGGAAGAGATGGTGGGGCAGGCATAGTCACCAGAAAGTTGCCCCGAGTTTACTGGCGACTTGAGTTTCTCGGTGTTGGAAGGATGGGAGGTTGATTGGTGCGTTGGCGGCAGACCTTCCACACGTGCCCTTTCTTGCCGCACTTGTAGCACACGATGGCTGGCCTCGGGTTTCTCTTCCTCTTCTCCATCAGGTCCAGGTCCATAGGAGCAGATTCTTGAAGATTGGAGTCCGTTGTTGTAGAGGGCTGGTAGGAGGGAGCAAACGGGAGGAACGGGCTACGAGGAAAGCGAGGCTTGTTGTATGCGTAATGAACAGAATCATACCGTTCAGCCACGCGTATCATTTCCTCGAGCGTAGAGCAGTCCCTCAGCTCGACCTCCATGCGCACGTTTGTTTTCAGTCCGCGCTTGAAACGATCCATCCGTTCAGCATCGGAAAGGTCCGGGATCTCTTGAGCGATGTCACGGAAGCGAGAAGCGTAATCTTGAACAGATTTGAGTTGCTTCAGAGCAGCCAAGGCGTCTCGTGCTCTGATGTTCGGGTTCACCGGTTGGAAGGTTGCAGTGAAGATCAGCTTGAATTGATCCCATGACTGGATGGTCGCGTGCACGGATTGCCACCAGGTGATAGCAGATCCACGAAGAAGGGTGCCGGTGAAAGCAGTCCACTCGGCAGGTAGTATGTGACTAAAGAGCAGGAATTGCTCAACAAGAAAGAGCCAACGGCTCACGACTGGTTGGTTTCTCCCGGGAAAGAAAAGATCAGGAAGGGCGGGTCTAGCGCGCTGATTTCCGTCTGGCGGTGCAGCAGGGCTCGAGTTTGCTGCCGCCACTCCAGCTGCAGCTACACTGGCTTGCATCTCAGCTTGCAAGCTCTCTCTAACTTCAGCAACAAGTTGGGCTCGGTAAGTTTCCAAGTAACTAGCCCATTCATCACGAGAAGGTACCTTACTAGTCGTCATGACGCTGTTCTTAAGAAAAGAAGGATCGAAGATAGCTCGGATACCAAATGAAACAGCCATTAAGCTGTTTGGGCAGAGTAGTAGTAGTAGGAAGCGTTGTTAGAAGAATTCCAGGAAGAAAGTAGCAAGATAGCTTTACAAGAGATCATATGATAGCATACATTTCAGAGATGCATCCTAATATACTAGGATACTAGCATGTGCGCCTCGAGCTGGTCGCTCAGGTCGCCATTATTATTCCAAGAGCTAAGAACAGCAAGGCATAGTCACTATGATTATGTACACAAGATTCTAGCCTTGTTGTCATATCCTAGAACCAATTAGCAAAGTCTAGGAATTCACTAAAGACACAGGCAGAGATTATTTGTCTTGTTGTCGTCCATGTTGTCGTTGATAATGATGACCACAAGCTCCGTTGGAAGTAGTCATGGCTGTAGGTAACTATGCTTGCTTGTGCTGTCAAGTACGTTGCTGCGCTGTTGGAATTCTCTGCCGTGTTGTGTCCAGCAGTAGAGTGCTCTCTGGAGTTGTTCCCACGGTTGGAAACTCAGAAAGTCGGGTCGCACATTTCAATGTTGGAGTTCCAACATTGAATTCCCGAAATGCACTTAGGGTGTGTTCCGAATTCTGGTTCGGATCACAAGGAGCCGAGTTGGCGAAATCGAGGATGGCGAGATCGCCTTCGTCTTGTTACAGGGAAGCACGGAAGGGGATTGGGGGAAGCACGGGAGGGGATGGGGGCAAGCACGGAAGGGGATGGGGGGAAGCACGGAAGGGGATGGGGGGAAGCAGGGAAGGGGATGGGGGGAAGCAGGGAAGGGGATGGGGGGAAGCACGGAAGGGGATGGGGGGAAGCACGGAAGGGGATGGAGGGAAGCACGGAAGGGGATGGGGGGAAGCAGGGAAGAGGACGTGGGGAGCGAGGGAGATGCCGGGGAGAGAGCTGGGGGGAGGATGGTGGGGAGCAGGGCGATTGATGGGGGGAAAAGGGAGAGATGTATGCAGTGCGGGGGTGAAAGGCGATTATTCGGGAATGGGAAGGGTGCATGTGCAGGTGGGAAAGGGGGCGTGACAAGTGTGCGAGATGAGAAGGGAGAAGGGAGGGATGGCGAGGACAAGGAGTGGATGGGAGGGCGACGGGGAAAGAGAGGGCGACGGGGGGAGAGAGAGACGGGGATTGCGAGGGGACGAGCGGGAAGGAGGGCGACGAGCGACAGAGAGGCGACGAGACGAAGGGGGACAACGGGGGGAAGGGAGCGCGACGAGGGAAAAGAAGGGCGGCGGGCGGACGGGAAGGCAACGGGAGGAAGGGAGGGCGACGAGACGAAGGGAGGGCGACGAGACGAAGGGAGGGCGACGGGCGGAAGGAAGCGCGAAGAGGGGAAGGAAGGGCGGCGGGCGGAAGGGAGGGCGACGGTAACCGAAAAATCAAGGGGGGGGAAAGTATGTTCGAAGTAACATCTGAAGTTACCTTGGGGGAACAGTTTCGAATGTATGTTTGAGGTTACGCCTCATTCTGCTCTTCGAGCAGACCGCGCATGATTCACTCCCCAAAGTTTTCGGAACCAATCGTCAGGTACCGCATATTCGGTTCGGGGAATTCCACGATTGGACAATGGTATGGTTCAATTTCTTTGGCGACTTCAATCATTGGACTTCCAGGTCTTTCGGAATCGACCCAATTGGCCGACATTTGACACACAAGCGAACAGTTCGTCCGATAAAACGCATAAATTCTAGTGACTGTAGCAATAAGTTGTATATCATGCGAATACACCTTAAGCAATTTTGAACTGGCACTGTTTTTATGTTTGGTTATTGTTCGTTTACACAGGAATATGTACATAAATATAGAATTGATTTCATATTGCGTATAATAACAAATCCGTCATTTCAATGCAAACGTGCATACATAATTTCACCGCATACCTGCATTTGCATACAACCTCTAGCATTTTTCTTGTAATGGTTCAGCATAAGGGGCCGATTTATTAAAACATGTGTATAACATCAATGACATTATCGACTCAATAAAGCTTCTGCAAGCATTAACAACGCTAATAATGATTTGAGTTCTCTAAAAATAAACTTGGAAAGGAAGACCTTCCGCTCCTCAAATAAGGAAATGTAGGGCGTGCAGAACGAAACTGAAACAAAACATGGTACAATCTTACCAGCAACAACTGTCATCGTAAATGATTTCGCGATTACAACCTGCAAGGAAAAAGAGACGACAGCAAGAAACAGGCGAGCTGCAGTGAGAAATCAAGAAACAAGCAGAAATAGCATGCATGCCATACCACGGCATGCGGCGACCACGCTACCTGATGCATCGCGTCGGGCGCCAACGGGCCTGATACAATCGAAAGACAGGATAACATAGTGACGGGATGAGTCGAAGAGAAAACAGCAGCAGCGAAAGGACCCAAGTCAACAATGCATCGAACACCAGCCTAAGGTTCCAATGCTTACCTTTCTTCTGAGAATCTGGAACTGTCGACGTTTACACGTCCCACCTAGTGGCTCAGAAGCTGACGAATGCTGACGGCGAGACTTGGCGATTCTGTAAGCAGCGCAAGAGAAGAGACAAAGGGAAGGGCGGGACCGGGCAAATACTCAATGAGCTGAGCTTCGCAACAGGCGATCGAGATCGATCAAGGCAAACAAGGCCAAAATTAAAGTTACGAAGTCAGTGTTGCATGTTTCTAAGGTTTCTTATTTGACAACTCGTGGTGAGTTGAGCTTCGCTGAGAAAAAAAAAAAACTGCTAAACGGAACGAACATGGACTTCGCGGCTACGGGAACAGAAGTAATAACTAATAGCAGAGTGACTACTTCCCTACTAACACTCGTCGAACAGATAAAACGAGAGGCTCGGATTGTGCTCATGAAAAGAAGGAACAAGCACATACACCCTGTCACCCACCACCTGCGAAAGCTGGCGGTTGCCTCGCTGGTAGGTCAGTGTGGCGACAAACCGCCCACTGCCATACCAGCGAGGCAACGCCAGCGTGCGTCGATGATTTTGTTTCAGCAAATCAGTGGCTCAGCAGTGGCAAAGCAGTGTCAGCGCTGTCACAGGCGTGAGCAAACGATTGGACCACACAAGCATTTTCGGCGTACAGCGACGCACTGCGACGCAATCGCACAGGCGTGTGTTGCAACTGCCAGCTTGATGAAAGGGGAGGTCTGTTACAGCACGGCAGGTTCACGAACAACGCTGTACACAATATTCGTGCCGAAGACCTACCCACTTAGAGTATCTTGTTAGTCCAAGGCCCAATTTCGGAAGTCTAAATTCACACAGACAAAATGTCACAATTTATAACAAACATAGGCGATATCTGTTCACAGGCAATAAGAAGCCCACGGATGGTGAGGTTTATGACTGCATTTTCCGAAGTCACTAGAAACAAAACACATATAACAAATAATTTAACTAATTTTTTCATTAACATTCTAAAATTGTGCCACTTAAAAAAAAAACTATTTTACATAGCTAATAAACACACAAATATATATATATATATGCAAATCATATAAGTGGCGTTTAAGCTCCCTTTCTCTCTCTCTCTCTCTCTCTCTCTCTCTCTCTCTCTCTCTCTCTCTCTCTCTCTCTCTCTCTCTCTCTCTGTCTCCCTCTCTCTCTCTCTCTCTCTCTCTCTCTCTCTCTCTCTCTCTCTCTCTCTCTCTCTCTCTCTCTCTCTGTCTGTCTCCCTCTCTCTCTCTCTCTCTCTCTCTCATTCTCTCTCTCTCTCTCTCTCTCTCTCTCTCTCTCTCTCTCTCTCTCTCTCTCTCTCTCTCTCTCTCTCTCTCTGACTCACCTAGATACATATTAGAGGCTTTTGGTGAAAAAAAAACGGGAGTTACAACAAGTGTCAGGGCTCTAAACTGCCAATAGTGTGATGGTTCCCTATCCTTGAACAGATTGGGTCCGTTCTGCGCACCGACGCTTGTCTACCTCATTAAATCAGTTGTGAACGATCTCAAACCCGGACAGCCTCACCTAGATACATAGTAGAGGCTATTGGTGCAGATAAATGGGAGTTAAAACAAGTGACGGGGCTATAAACTGCTGATAGTGTGTTGGCTGCCTATCCTTGAATAGATTTGGTCCGTTCTGCGCACCGATGCTTGTCTCCCTATCCAAATCAGTTGCGAATGATCTCAAACCCGGAGAGCCTCACCTACGTACATAGTACAGGCTATTGGTGCAAAGAAACGGAAGTCAAAACAAGTGACAGGGCTCTAAACTGGTCATAGTATGTTGGCTGCCTATCCTTGAACAGATTTGGTCCGTTCTGCGCACCAACACTTGTCTACCTATCCAAATCAGCTGCGAACGATCTCAAACCCGGACAGTCTTACCTATATATATAGTAGAGGCTATTGAAGAAATAGTGCTAAAAAAGGCATCCAGACGTTGGCGCATGTCAAACTCTTATGCTATAGTCTGTGTAGGCTATAGTGGGGTAGACAATATGGGGTACAACACTTCTAGGTTTTCCTACTTGTACCCACCTGCTTGTTAGTTCATCCATTCCTCATTTCTTCACATGGTATAGAGCAGGTTCCCTAGTGGGAACGCTTCCTTGGGCCCACCACTGAAACCTTTTTTTTCTGACCGGAGCGACAGTCGCTCCTGCCCGAGGCGCGCCTTGTGGGCCGCCCTTCTGTCGAGCTCTCTTAGAGGCCCCTCTCACGGCCCCTCGCGCCACCCTTAGCGGCCCCGTCGCCGCCCCTAGCGGCCCCGTTGCCGCCCTTCCAGGCCCCTCGCGGCCCCTAGCGGCCCCATTGCCGCCCCTACGCGGTCCCGTAGCCGCCCCTAGCGGCCCTGTCGCCGCCCTTAGCGGCCCCGTTGCCGCCTCCCTCCCTACGCGGCCCCGTTGCCGCCCCTACGCGGCCCCGTCGCCGCCCCTAGCGGCCCCGTCGCCGCCCCTACGCGGCCCCGTCGCCGCCCCTAGCGGCCCCGTAGCCGCTCCCCTCCCTACGCGGCCCCGTCGCCGCCCCTACGCGGCCCCGTCGCCGCCCCTACGCGGCCCCGTTGCCGCCCCTAGCGGCCCCGTCGCCGCCCCTAGCTGCCCCGTCGCCGCTCCCCTCCCTACGCGGCCCCGTAGCCGCCCCTACGCGGCCCCGTTGCCGCCCCTACGCGGCCCCGTCGCCGCCCCTAGCGGCCCCGTCGCCGCTCCCCTCCCTACGCGGCCCCGTCGCCGCCCCTACGCGGCCCCGTCGCCGCCCCTAGCGGCCCCGTCGCCGCCCCTACGCGGCCCCGTCGCCGCCCCTAACGGCCCCGTCGCCTCCTCCCTCCCTACGCGGCCCTGTCGCTGCCCCTACGCGGCCCCGTCGCCGCCCCTAGCGGCCCCGTCGCCGCCTCCCTCCCTACGCGGCCCCGTCGCCGCCCCTACGCGGCCTCGTAGCCGCCCCTACGCGGCCCCGTCGCCGCCCCTAGCGGCCCCGTCGCCGCTTCCCTCCCTACGCGGCCCCGTCGCCGCCCCTACGCGGCCTCGTAGCCGCCCCTACGCGGCCCCGTCGCCGCCCCTAGCGGCCCCGTCGCCGCTCCCCGCCCCTAGCGGCCCCGTCGCTGCCCCTACCCGGCCCCGTCGCCGCCCCTAGCGAGCAGCCGAGCCGCCGAGCCGCCCAGCAGCTGAGCCGCCGAGTCGCCCAGCAGCCGAGCCGCCCCTGGAGCAGCCGCCACTGCAGCAGCCGCCCCTGGAGCAGCCGCCACTGCAGCAGCCGCCCCGGGAGCAGCCGCCACTGCAGCAGCCGCCCCTGGAGCAGCCGCCACTGCAGCAGCCGCCCCCGGAGCAGCCGCCACTGCAGCAGCCGCCCCTGGAGCAGCCGCCTCTGGAGCAGTCGCCCCTACAACTGCCGCCCCTGGAGCAGCCACCCCTGCAGCTGCCGCGGAGCTCTCGCTCTACAGTGGTAGCGGCCTCGCCGTTGCCGCCGTCGTACGCCTGCCCCTCTCGCCACTGGTGAGCACTGCCCTGCCCGTACTGCTGTTACTGCTGCTCTTACTGCTGCTGCTCTTTCTACTGCTACTGCTGCTCCTGGCGTGGCCAGATGCAGCTCCAGCGTCGCCCGCGTGAGTCCCTCACCCCCCAACAGCTTCGTGCGTGGTACGCTAGTTGGGGTTGTCGGGGTGGCCGTAGTGGGAGTCGTCCTGGAGTGAGTAGTTCCACAGCTGCTTGTAGTGGCCAGGTGCAGCTGCAGCGTCGCCCGCGTGAGTCCCTCACCCCCCAACAGCTTCGTGAGTGGTACGCTAGTTGGGTTTGTCGGGGTGGCCGTAGTGGGAGTCGTCCTGGAGTGAGTAGTTCGGCAGCTGCTTGTAGTGGCCAGGTGCAGCTTCAGCGTCGTCCGCGAGCAGTCCTTTCGCCCCAGCAGCTTCGTGAGTGGTACGCTCAGCGTGACGGGTCACGGGGTACTGCTCGCTGTCCGTACGTCATTCGCACTGGTGCTCGGACTGGTCAGCCTTGCGGGACGTTGGGTCACGCAGAGTCCCGCTGCTTCGCCCGTCTGAGCGACGCCTGGCGTACGGAGTTTGGCGACGCGGCTAAGCTCCCCGACTGGGTGGAGCTGCTTCGGCTGCGGGTAGATATCTATACTCTTGACTATGATGCTATCCTCACTGCCATGTATGCATTGCCTACTAGTGATGAGGGTGACTGTTACCTGTGTGTTCCGCCTGACCCGGGCATTGAGGCTGCTGCTCTAGGTGCTGGTGAGGCTGCTGCTCTAGGTGCTAGTGCGTCTGCTGCCCCAGGTGCTGGTGAGTCTGCTCTCTCAGGTACCACGTCGTCTCAGGCCTTACACACCTTCACTCTTGACTCGGGTGCTTCCCGCTCCTTCTTTCGAGACCGCACCACGCTTACGCCGCTCAGTCGGCCGGTTGCGGTCTCCCTGGCGGACCCCTCTGGGGGTCCTGTCCTTGCTCGCTTCTCCACTGTCTTACCCTGTCCGGCAGCCCCCTCTGGCACCCTATCAGGTCTCTACCTCCCCTCGTTCTCTACGAACTTGGTGAGTGGTGCTGATCTACAGGATCGGGGGGTTGACCAGTTCACTCCTGCGAGTCAGCGGGTGACCCACTGTACGTGTGCGCGGACGGGCCGCCACTTGGCCACGTTTACCCGTCGGCCGGGGTCGAGCCTGTACACCCTAACTACTGAGTCTCCTCCGGTTGCTGAGTCTGGTCAGGTAGTTGCGTCGAGTCAGGTGTTTGCTGCTGCGTCCAGGTCTGGTCCTGAGTCTGCTCCCTGCTCGTGTCGTCTCCTGTCTCACCAGACTCTCCTTTGGCACCACCGCCTTGGTCACCCCTCCCTGCCTCGTCTCCGAGGCATGGCCTCCCGTGTCCTTGTCTCTGGTCTCCCCCGGTCACTCCCTCCCC